CCACAGCTGATTAAATAATTGTTTATTTAATTAAAGAGGCCCCGCGGATTGCCTAAGTGAATTACATGTAATTTCATTTCACTGGCTTTGTGTGCAAATCGCCCCCTTTAAACCAAAGAATCCTTTCTCTTACATCCACACGGCATGTCAAATGCATTATTAGCCCTTATTTTCACATATTATATCTGTGATGTGTCAGTCTCCAAGCATCCCCTGCTTCCCCTCATCATTTTAACTATCTCTGCTTTTAGGCACGATTTTGCTGTCCACCTCACCAAAACCGACTATAGGATTGACGTCGCAGAGGCCTGGAAATCTCCCTGGTGCTCAAAGCTATTATTTTCACCTCTAACACAGACATTTTTCATAGACGCCGCATTGTTTAGAACCGAAAATCGACAATGGCTGCGAAACCGGTTACAAAACCTTGAGAGCAGCTGATTACCGTAATAGGTTTAAGACAGAAAGGTGTGATGTTTCTTCCCCGCCTCTTTCACCTGAGACTAGAAGCTTTTAATGGAGAGCTTTATGGAATTGTGGGAACATACTCGTTAAATAAATAGATGTAATTAGGTCCTGCCTCTAATTACTTCAGATTCCTCTCACCAGGACTGAATTAGTCCGACTCCCTAGAGCGCCTAGTGTTAGGCATGCGTAATCAATCACGTACAAACAGAATGCACAAGCTACACACACAGAAAGTACCAGAGTGCAGCAGGGTCATTCATCACAGCCCGCAATGCAAACAAGAACAGCCATTTTGTTGTTTACTGCGAGTAACTCTAACCTCGCGCTACCTGTACGCGTACCTTTGTTGTAGCCCTCGCCGTATGGAAATAAATGATCCCAAAAAATACATAATCCAGCCTATTATTACACCTCATCCTGACTGCAGATGAAAGGTAGCGCAAAGTTTGTTTTGATTATGATTAGTGGTGTTTTAACCAGTGGCGGTGCTGCGTGATAATGCATGGCACCTTGTGAAGGCCGTGACGGATACCAGATAGTGGGAGCAGCGCTGAGAGCAGATACAGTGATAAACTGGAGCAGGCCAGGAAACAGACAGGGCCTGGGCTCTCTGCGGCCCCTCTAGCCCGCGGAAAAAAGCAATGCATCACCTCACAGCACAGCCAGACGTGGCAGGCGAGAAAAATCACCCCACACTTTGGGAAAACAAAGACAATCAGGGCTTTCTCTCATTTGCCTCCCCCCTCCTTTTCCTTTGGTGAGCAGCTGCAGCAAGCCAGTCAAATGTGTTTTTTTTTTTCTTCTTTTTTTCTTTTGCCAACTTGTCCTTTTTTTGAGATGTAATAGAGGGAGAAAGAGATTTAAAAAAAACAGAACCTGGCAAGGCAAGGTACGCATTCGTTTTTACAGATGGCAGACTGGTCCAGTTGATAATTGAAAAGGATGTCTGGGATTGTGCACCATTCAACAGGAGAAGGCTATTTCTGGGTTTTCCTGTGTAATTGACCCACGACCCGCTCCCAAACACTTTCACATCTGAACGTATTGACACTACTTTATATTTGATCCTACTTAAAATGTAATGGACTGTCACTATAGCTTGCTTATTTTGTGTATTTTTCCTTTAGATACTTGTTGCTTAATTTTAGATTGTTTTGGAAATTCGCTTTGACCTTATATCAGTCCAACAAGTTGTTCTTGCAATCTCTGCACCTTGTTTATGTGTATGATTGATTGTTTATTAACAAGTAGGTAGTAAATGTAAGTTGCTGGTTCAGTTCAATCATGGGATCATGCTCTTACGGTGATCCAGCACACTAGATGCCACCAGTGTCAAGCAGACATGGTCAGCCTCTCCGTTTTATATTTTATTTTGTGAGTTTGCTGTAAGAAAACTCACTTGCACATTTAACCTAATATATAAAGACTTGTCTTTACAATGAACATAAACTTAATGACACTGAAGGTTTGATTGGAATAATAGTTAATATTTTAATGGAGACATTAATTTTAATGCAGCCAGTCAAAATTTTATTTTTTTACTGCTAAGGGTAAAAAAACACCTGCTAATGGTGGATTAATTGAGTTAACTTTTTCAACCATAAATACCAAAATTACCTAAATTATCTATTATTAAAAAAATTACATGTAATTTTACATGTAATTTTTTTACATATTTTTTATTTTGAAATTAATTATAATTATATTTCTATAATTATTTTTTATATATGTGTGCGTGTGTGTGTGTGTATATATACTTACGGATAGAATAAAAAAAACACCTTCTGAAGTTTTTTTTTTCTTTAAGTGCTCCATTTATTTTCCCTTTTGATAAAAGGATTACGCAATTTAAGAGTCTAATTAATTCTAACACTGAAACAGTCCTTATCACAGTCAGTGGACAACAGAGTCAGATGCAGACATGATCAGCCTTTCATTCCGATTTAGTTTTGGCTCTCAGAGTCAGAGATTTTGATTTATATTGTTTTAAATCCAAAGCTTTTGGCCCACTGTATCCATAACCATATAAGCTTTCTGGATGGCTAAACAGGAGGCCCAGCACAAATGAATGATTTGACCAACAAGATAAATTATCAGTTTTGTTCACACTGTGTGTAGTTTGTATGTATATTAACTCTCTGCGGCTGTTGTACGATGAAGATCTGCGGGCCAGGCGGAGGGAACACGTGTGAGTGATTTGGCTCTGGAGCCCAGAAGGCCAGGGAGAGAAATCCACAAAGCTGATGACGGACACTTTGTTTGGCTTGTAACGCTAGAACAGGATAGGAAAGAATCAATCAATCAATCATGTCTAAACTGTCAGGACTATCATGTGGCCCTCCAAAAACCCCACTGAGATCAGAAAATATATACATTCTCGCTTAAAGCTTGTAAGAAAGCACTGATTCTGACGTAAATGAGCCATAATTCGATTTTGAGATAATCTTCCAGCAAGGTATTGTGGGTTTGTGTTGTGGGACATTCCAGACATCTTGCTGTCTTAAAGGGACAGTTCACAAGTGACAAATTCAAGTCAATTCCGTTCCAAACTATCCCTTACAGAGTTGGAATTATACATTATTTACAAATATTTAATTGAAGTACCCATAGAATATGTAAATGCATTACCATCTAAAGCCATCAACATAATATGGTAGTGCTACAGTACTTTTTGTGAAGGATAAAACTATTGATTTGGGTAAGTCTAATGCTTAATGTAAGGATAGTGTCATTATTGTTGCGGCAAGCCATTAGAACGGTGTTTATGCACCTTCAATGAGTTTACCTACCTTTTTATGTGCACAATAAAGGACGCGAGATCCCTCCCTCTCGGCCTGAAATGCTGTGTGCATCAGAATGATGCTCTGCGGTTGCAAAGGGCAGTTGTCAGAGTGACTTTGCATTTGCTGATAGCGCATGGAAAACATTGCTCCATCTCATTAAGTTATTGCCATCATTTTTATTCTTTATGGTTGTGCAGGCTACCGTCCCTCATTCTCTTTTCACATTCATTTTCTACGTATCTATGATTAATGGGAGATGTTGAACCATAGAGTGAGCAAGCATCAGCGAAGGTGAGATCATAATTAGTTTAGCTGATGCGGGGCCCTCCAATGGTGCATCTGGATGGAAAAATTACCCTATAGGAAGCTGGCGGCGCCCCAAAAATTTTACTGATACGTTGTGAAACACCCGATGAATCAAGTGCCCTTTCCCTGCCAAAAAAGCTCTACCGACTCGAAGCCAAAATTATGTCTGCAGAAAGCTTTCCATTCTAAATGTATTAGAGCACAATTAGGAGCATTGTACTTTCCTGGCAGGAGAAATGTGCTCCCTGCTCAAGCCGTCTGAAGTTAGGCTAAATAAATCGTACACATTCTATAAGGCTAAATTAGTTTTACAGGGACCATAATCGAGATAATTCCTGTGATTTGCCCCGGTTGACTCTCGGGATTCACTTGTAGTTCTGTCCGTTCCCGGTGGATGATTCATGTGGCTATATCTCTCTCCTTTTTTTCCTACTTGAGTTTATTTTTTCCCCTTCTCTTACAGTAGAGTGCAATATTTCAAGCTACTAGATATTCTGTGTTCCAGCCATGGATTTAACGGTTCACGTCATACATGTGTACGAGATGAGACATTTATTGAAAGATCAAAATATTTATGTCAGGCCGGTGCGGGCGACCCATTTTGAAGTTGGTTGTGCGATCTCACTGACACGGTATCTTACAAAGCCTATAAATCACGGGAAGGTTAATTAGTGTTAGAATCAGCTTGGTTCTATTAATTGTGCCTCATCCTGGCTTTCTGATTGGACACATTGTGTCCCTCACCATCAGAGCTGCCATATCCAGCTACACCCTGCTGAGTCTTGGGATTTTGTTTTCGCCTTTTTCCTCCCTCTGCCTCTTTTTCTTGCTTTCTCTTTTACATTCACCTCCCGTCTCCATGCTGAGCATGAATCTCCATCCCTCTTTTTCTCAACAGCCTGCTTTTTTTACTCATTTTGGCTCTCTTTCTTTTTTATGATTTCAGAGACGGCGGGGCTCGGGGGTCTTCTGCGCCAAGCTACTAGATATTCTGTGTTCCAGCCATGGATTTAACGGTTCACGTCATACATGTGTACGAGATGAGACATTTATTGAAAGATCAAAATATTTATGTCAGGCCGGTGCGGGCGACCCATTTTGAAGTTGGTTGTGCGATCTCACTGACACGGTATCTTACAAAGCCTATAAATCACGGGAAGGTTAATTAGTGTTAGAATCAGCTTGGTTCTATTAATTGTGCCTCATCCTGGCTTTCTGATTGGACACATTGTGTCCCTCACCATCAGAGCTGCCATATCCAGCTACACCCTGCTGAGTCTTGGGATTTTGTTTTCGCCTTTTTCCTCCCTCTGCCTCTTTTTCTTGCTTTCTCTTTTACATTCACCTCCCGTCTCCATGCTGAGCATGAATCTCCATCCCTCTTTTTCTCAACAGCCTGCTTTTTTTACTCATTTTGGCTCTCTTTCTTTTTTATGATTTCAGAGACGGCGGGGCTCGGGGGTCTTCTGCGCCAACTGTCTGACCACCAAGACCTCGCTGTGGAGGAAGAATGCCAACGGCGGCTACGTGTGCAACGCGTGTGGCCTCTATCAGAAGCTGCACTCGGTAAGGGGGGGAACTAAGAAAACATCAGTGCAAGGGACGGCGAGAACGCCTCGCCAGCCCACACACAAATCGCAGAAACAGAGTTCAAAATGAATGGAGAGGTGACAGTGTAGCAGCTCCGGTTTGATCGCTTCATTTCCGCGCTGTCAGGCGAGGACCCCGGGGGAAAAGCCCTTTTGGCCTTCCTCAGCCCTGCAGCCAGCTAATGGCCCTATGGAAGTAATTTTGCACCGGCTGGGAGCCCCACTTCCCACAGTCCTAACAAACACCTGACCTTAAAACCTGAGACACAATGCCTACTGGCACAACCTTAAAACCCAGTCAAGTGGAGTCTTTCTTTAACATTTTTTCACCTTCATGTTGTTCTAAACCCATATGAATTTCTTATTATTATTAACCTTTATTTAACCGGGCAAGTCACTTAAGAGCACATTCTTATTTACAACAGCCTGCTGTGGAACACAAAAAGAGACTTCCTTGCGTGGAACACAAAAAGAGACAGTACGGAGTAGAGACAGAGTAGTATGTTTAAGCTGCTTTTTTCCATACGATAAAGTCAGTGGCAACTACAGTTGTTTTAGCGCCCATCCACTTTCATAGTATGCAGAAAAGCTCGGGATTTGCTAAATATCTCTTATTGTGTTCCAAAGCCGATAAGTCTATGAAAGTCAAAGCTTGGAAGGGAGAAAAAATGATGACAGAAATTTTGTTTTTGGTTAAACTGTTTTTTTTAACCTCCTTTGTTATAGAGTGTAATATTCTGGTTCTTAAAGTAAAAATCCCATTAATTTTCTACATGGTGGTATTGATTTTTAATGATAACTTGTAAGCCTTTAAAGATATAACTTTTTTGAGCTCCAAGGTTTTTAATAAATGGCAAATGTTTTTGCTGAAGCCATCAGCCTGCTTTTTTTTTAATAATCATTCAGTTTTCCAGCAGATTTCCTTGTGAAAAACTGCATTACCCATGATTCTGCAAAGAAATCTCCATCATTCAAAGAATCTTTATAAGCAAATCGCTCTAAAAGAAAAATCACTGTGAATTATGTGAACATTATATGAATGGTCTTCTCCTATGCTCTCAAAATTTAATATTTGCGTGTGTGTGTATATATATATATATATATATATATACACACACACACACACACACACACACACACAAATGTATGTATATGTATGTATGTATATATTCATATATACAGTGTGTGTATATATATATATATATATATATATATATACTGAACTGATATGTATACACACACACATACTGTATATATGTGTGTGTGTAAGAAAATATTTTTAGTTGATCTTTAGTTTCTTTCACAGTGCGTCATTAGATTGTAGTTCGTTCCCTCATTAAGTACACAGTCTATAACTGTGTTTTTGTCCAATTTTAAAAATTTTTTCCCTTCAAACAAAGTTTGTAATCTTGTCATTTCTTTAATAGCTGTTTTTTTTTTATTCATAGCTTATAAGTCTTTAACAGAGACATAAATAGAAAAAATACTTCTGCAAAAACCTGAGTAGGCACTGTTGCATTTAATTATGGTCATACACATGCTTTCTGTTTATCCGAATAATATCAACAATTAAAAAAAATACATTTTATATATGATATTTATAAATGCATAAATTATGACTATACAGTGACTATTTTATTAATTCTTCAGTCTGTGTGAAATGTGCACAAAGAAATGAAACTACTCGTTTCTGGACTCGGTCACTAAATGACTTAATTTGATTTGCTTTATCGCCTCAGTTCTCCGCTCTCCCAATTTAATTTAGATCTGAATTAGCATTTTTTTTTTCATCTGCAGTCATACCTAAAGCTTTATCTGCAGCCTTAAAAGTGTTCTAGTGTTCTTCTATTTCCTTTGAAATGGTGTCTGAATAAACATGATGGGTAAACAGTCAGAATTAAGCTGGAGAAACAGAAAAAGCATTGTTCTCGGGCCTGTTGCTGGACTTAACGTTGATTTTGCATTCTAATCTTTGGAGCTCCTTCAGAATTGGGTCAAGTCTGTGAGTGTTACAGTTTCTTCCTGTCTTGATATGCAATGTTGGAAGCGCTCTTTGCCTCAGTGGCCTCGGGCTATCGGGACTAGTGCCTGGGTGGCACAGGCTTGGAAACAGGGGCCGACTGAATCAGTGTGGTCGGCTGGGGTAAGGCGTGTTAAGGCACCACATCGCCCAGACCACAAGAGGCTCTTTCAGGGGCCATGCCACCTGGTGGCTTGAGTCGTGCTAACTTGACCCGACACAGCCTCTCACATCTGCCTGTCTGTCCGCACCGCTTCATCAGAGAGCCTGCAATCAATGGGCGCTTCACAGCTGAGCTTGTGAAATACTGTATGCTCTATTTACTGCCCCACATTAAACACTGTCTGGAGTAAATAAGTTTCCTCATGCTGGAAGTTTTTCTAACTTTGACATTTATGTTGGAGTTCCATCATGCATTGATGCAGCAGCAGTACTGATGCTCGCATCAGTCTTTGCTCTGGCTTCCTGGGACAGAAAAAGTGGGGTGACCATGACTTTAAGGGAAATGGGAACAATTCTTGACAGTTTTACTTCTGAGATCACACTGATATTAAAAGCCAAGGGGTGATGAATTTGATGAGAGTGGAACACAGTGGCTTCAGTTTTTCTTTAGGCCTAATCAGACACACAGGCGATAACTGGTTACAAGTGAAATTGTGTCCTGTTTTAAAATATATTAAAAAAAAAAAAGTCCTGTGTTGGCAAAGCTGAATTTTCAGCAGCTATTTACTCCAGTCTTCATTGTCACATGATTCTTCAGAAATTATTCTAATATGCTGATTTGCTCAAGACACATTTCTTTTCATCAATGTTGATATCAGTTGTGCTACTTAGTATTATTGTGTAAATCATAATACATTTTTTCAGGATACTTTGAATAGACATTTCAAAAGAATAGCATTTATTTGAAATAGAAATATTTTGTAACAAAGCCGTTTTTTATCAATATAATGTGTCCTTGCTGGATAAAAGTATTCTTATCTTCTTATTTCTTAAGTATTCAAAAATCTTACTTGGCTCAAAATTTTTAAATGTAGTGAACAGTAATAAGTTCTACAATTTATTACATAATTGTATTGTATTGCATAACATGTTTACATATATTGCAAAACCCGTATCTTGTATTTAGTTCGACTGAGGCATGTTGTGTGCCCCATGTCTGTGGAAAAAAAGTGTGCAGAAGTATTTCCATTGCACAGGCTATACAGAAGTGACATGTAAACCACTGAAAGGTGTGTTCAGATGGGCTTTATTAGCACAGGAAAGAAAGAATGATGCATTTCAAATTAGATTTTTGATAGCTGAGAGAAAATGAGTCAAACTGATCGTCTTGACAGTGGCAAAGTTTAAAGAGGCAAAGTGGCACTATCGGTATTGGTGAAAGAATGTTGTAAACATTTTAGAATCTTTAATGAATGAAATGTATGAAAAACATTGGTTATTTTGGATGTAATCTGTTAAATCCTTAAACCTATTAATGAGAACTGCTACCTTTACTCTTCTTGAGCTTATCTTTTTATTTACATTTGTGCAATGACTGCCTACAGTGCTGATGAAATGTGTATTTCCCTCATATTGTATACAAAAATAGCAATAGCATAGATCTGTATTTTATTAGTTCTAGCTCAGTGCTCACCTTTGATGATATTTATAGCTGTGTGGTGCGATGATCTAAAGCCTGTACATTCCAGCGGTGGACTGAATGACCAGTTGGTTATAGTCTCTCTGTGTTCTTTTACTGTAAAGTAGCTTCTGCAGTGGACCATCAGGTTGTGTACACGTCACACTCCACTAGAAGCTAATAAACAAGATGTGGAGACGCCTCTCCGAAGCCCTCGGGATCCTTCGAATCACTGCCGATTGGCTACAGGATTTGTTTGCCTGATGTTTCTGTTTTTGGTTTCTGTTATAACATGCCGAGTCCTCTACGGCAGTTTGATTTCTGGAGCCAAGTAAAGGCAGTGGGGATGTTAAGTAGAAGATATCTCATAGTCTTTCAGGTTCTTGGTTTGATAAATAATCGAGTGACTGCTTCACTGATGGCGCGCTAACGCAGGCCAGCGGAGACTGTGTCCTTCATGTCAGCTTGGCAGTCAGTTTCCAGTAGTATTTTTTATATTTTTGAATAAAAACTTTTATATGCTGTACAGAAATCATTTCATAATAGCACCTCATAAAACCACACTGTAGAGAGCCCTAAATGGAGGTCTGGGCTGCTCGTGCCAGAACACATTGCAATAATAAATGTCTCTCAGATTTTATCTTCTAATAATAGGACCCTACATGCGCCGTAGCCATGCGTCAATGCCCGACATAAAACTTGCGGCTGCCTCCGTTTTTCAGATACACCATCAAGGAACTTTTTATGTGGGACGCAGAAAGAATATATCGTTCGTTCTCCAAAAAAGTTCTCGAAGCTTCTGAACTCTGACCACCCATTGGAACAAGAAAGCCCAAAATGTAGAAAGAAATAGCGGAATAGCAACAAGGTTTTGTTCACTGACAGCACAGTCTTCCAGGCTCCTTTGAGCATTTAATACATTTCAGTGTTTAAAAAAAAAGTCTTTAGCTAAGGTACACAAACTGTCAAAAATAGATAAGATGAAATAAATAGAGAGATACCCAAGGTTGCTGAATAGCTCTACAGTATATTATTACGAAAGAGACTTCTTGTAGAACTAGTCTTCCATTTGTGCTGTATGCATTTATCATATAATTTTATTAAATTCTTTTTTTTAAGGGATTTTTTGGAGGGGAGTGGGGGTGGTGTTGTCAGGGGCCACCAAACTTAATCCCCCACTAGTCATTTTGTAGTAGGAAGCAGATATAATCAAAGGCTTTAAGACTTTAAGACTTTAATGTCTCTTGTCTGGTTTGATATTTGAAACAGAAAAGTCAAGAACTCATAGCCAACTGATAAATCAAGCACTGTTCATTTTTTAAATAATAATAATCCTTACAAAATTAGACTGAAGAGAAAAAAAAAAAGAACAAGAAAGAATGCCCTCTTTCTGTAGTGTGCAGTGAGGGCCTGACGTGGTCCAGCAGTAGAGGGCACTCTTTCTTTTTGTCTGGCTTTCATCCCCATCCTCTCTTCAGACAGACAACCAGCCTGACATGTTCCAAAAAGTGAGCGCTCACATTTATTTTAACACCATCTATCACAGGGCATTAACTGAACTTAAGCAACACAGTAAGATTTGTTTTAGATTGAACTCCGGTCCCCAGTGGCCAAGCATTATTGAAAATATGCATCTCATGTTTCTTCCCCTAGAACATATGGTGCAGAGCCAAAGGCTAGTTTGAGGCGGAGTTACATTTTGTACTACCATACATGATTGATTCCCTCGATGTGCCTCTACCTCAAAGTCAACAAGCAGTCGGAAGGTGGTGGTAGAGGGGAGCGACATGGTTCTTCTGCCATTTATCTCTGGCTCTGAGTCGTGGGTGATCTCTGCATCAAGCAAGGACTTGGAAGTATGTGTCTGGCAGTGTAGCTAAATGAGTTGCGTCACCTTACTAAAGTTTTCCCCCCGAGCCACTGCCTACCCGGATGGAATCTGTGCTCTGAAAAATAGATTACAGACAAGTGCTCCATATTTTCCCTCCTGTTGCAGGTCTGCCACCAAAGGAAATATGCATATCTCACATCTCTCCAACCACAGTAGTTTCCATTTTAGCGTAGACGTAAAGGATGAGAAATGAGAAGGAACATACTGTTAGTTCGGGCTTTTTCTTGTAAAGTAGCACAATTGATAACAGTTTCACCCATTGATTTCTGTCTCTTTCCTGTAGTCAAGCTGAAAGTCACTTCTATAATTCACTCATTTATATTTGTGAACTCACTGTAGTGTCTTGATTTTTGAGCTAGGCTTACGTAGTCCAGTGAAAATAAAGCAGTAATTAATAGCCATTTGATGGGAGATTATTATGCTAACCTGCCTAATTACAGGAGTGTGTCCTCTGAGTCCCAGAAGGGATGAATCACTCTACTGAAATCACAATATTAGATCAGAGACTGTTTTTATGAGGCAGTAAATAGATCAGGTCCAGTCTCACAGACACTTGGGAGAGCATGTGAATATTTGTTTGTTTGGATCACACACATGGAGATTGTACCCAACCGTACCCAAATCTGGTATTAAAAAAATGTAAAATATTTAACACAGAAACTCTGGTTCCAGCTTTGTGTTTTGTTTTTTGTTTTTTTTTAGTTCAAAAACCTGTCTACATCCTTAGAAATGCATTGTTTTCACATGGTTTTGATGGCTGTGGTTTAACTATTAAGTAAATAATAATAAAAAACTTGCTCCTTGAATACAGTATATACATCTTAATAAAAATTTTTAAAATTTTTTAACAAATGCAATGAATTATTAATTCCTATGAAATAAAAAGTCATGTCAAACCACTAGGTTTTATTCTTTTAAGAAGTTTTTTGCCTTCATGATATGAGAAAAAACCATCTTAAAATCATGTAGAAATATTAGATGGAAATGTAAACTTAAAATGCATAAATGAAAATTAGAAATGTTGCCTTGGCAAATAACTTAAGTAAAATAAGTTGTACTAAAATGACTAAAACTTTATATAAAAAAAATAAGCATCACGTCAGTGACCCCAATTTCAAAATGTAATAATTTGCATGTCTCTTTTTCAGACCCCAAGACCGCTGAACATTATCAAGCAAAACAACGGCGAGCAGATCATCCGTCGACGGACACGCAAGCGCCTGAATCCTGACCCCGTACCATCTGAGCAGGTGGGGTCCAAGCAGCAGCGCGTCAACAGCGAGGAGCGTCTCAACGGCAGCCCCTTAGAGAGGAGGACTGAGGAAGCAGGATCTGATGGGTCTTTATCACGTGCCGAGGCCCAAGTGCAGTTGGATAAATACGAGGCTTACGGTTCCTCAGGACCCAAAAGTCACCCTAGCCCCCGCTCCACCCACGCGTTCCTCGTCAACCAGACGCTGGAGATCCACAAGCGCATGCCACCCCTGCATATGCACAAGAGCCCTGCGGACGGCGGGGCCGAGGGCAACGGGCTCAGCGCAGGACCCCAGGGAGGGGACGGCAAGGGTGGTTCTGAACGGGGCAGCCCTATTGAGAAGTACATGCGTCCATCGAAGCAGGCCAGCTACTCCCCTCCTGGAAGCCCTATCGAGAAGTACCAGTACCCATTCTTCAGCCTACCCTTCCTCCACAACGACCTGCAAAACGAAGCGGACTGGTTGCGCTTCTGGACTAAGTACAAGATGTCTGTGCCGGGCAACCCGGGCCACTACCTGAGCCCTGTGGCTGGCCTTCCCAATCCGTGCCAAAGCTTTGTGCCTTACCCTACCCTCGGCTTACCGCCTCATTTCCCCCCACCAACCCCTTCTGAACCCGAAAGCGACACGCCTCTCGACCTGGCCATGAAACATTCCAAACCCAGTCCTACACCCAATGGGACCCTCGTCGCCAAGGAGAAATGGGCGTCAACCGCTTCTGAAAGGGAGCGGGAGACGGAACACTCGGAAGAACCCGAAGAGGAGCACTCTACTTCGCAAATCGCCCAACCGGAGAAGATTGATCAGGCCACGCAAGATGACATCTCGAGCAAATGCACCCACTGTGGCATTGTCTTCATGGACGAGGTCCTGTACGCCCTGCACATGAGTTGCCATGGTGACGGCGGGCCCTTCCAGTGCAGTATCTGCCTGCATGCTTGCGCCGATAAGTACGATTTCACAACACACATCCAGCGAGGCCTCCACCGGGCCGCCCCCGAGGCGAATGCCAACCCCTCTAACCAATGAGCTTTACAAACCTGCAGTCCGAGCACAATTAGAGCAGCGAGGAAAGCGAGCGCTTGTACAAATGAATGCATTGAACTTTTTTTTGCTTGAAATGTGCCAAGACGGATCATGGTGCCTAAGCAGCCAATGCAAGAAACTTCAGTCAGCATAGCATTTCTGTGGGAGCTCACACACACGTATACTTTTAACGAACAAAGACTGCTTTTTGAAGACATCGGTACATGTAGCTACTCAATCTAGATATATTTTCGTTAGTCCAGATATGTAATTTTCGACAAGGCAGTTCAGCAAGCAAGGTACATCTACTCCAATTTAATGCTTCGTTTCTCGTCGTGTGTATTCGCAGATTTATGGAAAGTTCTCTTACCTGGTTCTGATAAAAATGAGGATGTGTTTCTGCATGTGTGGCTCAGTGTAGGAAAATGTGGCAGTCGTCTGTCACTATGGCAACAGCATAAATGACTGCCGTCCTCGAACAAACATCCAGCATCCTCAGGGAAAGTGTATGGCTGAATAGACAACATTAGTTTATAGTCTGTCTCCAGTTAACATTATACTAAATGTCTTATGGTTTTCTGTTTGTTCTTGTCATTCTTGTCTTTTTTTGTGTGTTGAAGTTATAGGGTTAGGTAACTCAAGTCACAGAATCCATCAAAACTTTTAAGCTGCTGCCTTAGTTGCTGGGATGCAATTCTCTACTCTAGAAATTTGGGAAGGAATAAAAAAATATTTTTTTTCTAGGTTGTTAATAGTAAAATCATATTATCAGTGCCTGATATATTGTACAAAGTATTTTCTACATGAGATGTTGATATGCAACATTGAACTTGCATCTGAATAAGGGCCTTGAGTTTGGCTCTGACAAACGTTTACATTTGCAAATGTAGCAAACGTCATAATGAAGCAACACCTGAACTTTTTTTTTTTTTTTCATGAAAACAGTAAGACAATTCAATTTCCTTTCCTCTAAAGGAGGAATATTAAACAAAAGTATGTTTTTTTTTCTTTCTTTTTTTTTTTTAGTTTTGGCCACAAAAGGGCACTATTCATTCCAAGTGTTGTCATTTTCTGTTGCCTCTTCTTACCATGTACTTGTGCTTTGTAGTTGAAGAAAAAGGTTGTATTGGACTGAAGTCTTCCTGTATTTTTCTCTTGCTCTTCTGATACCGAACGTTCAAGGGAAACTGATGAGTCTGTGCTTTATTTGGTCATTTTATGGGAGCCAGTGCTCTATAATATAAAAATAATAACTTTGTGCCAGTCTAAATTCATTCGGTTCCACCTTTAATTCTAAAGAGCAGTTGAAAACACCTTAGACTTTTGTTTTTTTAACAATTTTATTCAGTGTACTGTTGATGAAACTTAATAACTGCAGGTGTTTCTGGTGCCTTTCAATGGCAGTTGTCTCAAAGAGGCATAACATTATTTATATTGTTGTTTCACCCAGCTGTACTTTGGTTTTTATGCCCCTTTTGCAACTTTTATCATGTGGAGTGGACAACTGTCTACCTGAGTGACCGAAAAACATATTTTTAAGTAATAATGAGCTCAGAAATGATCCAAACATACTTTATCAAGTCAAGCGCTTGATATATTTAAAGCTGTTCACGCATCTTCACAGTTTTCCATTTTATTTGAATAGGAAAAGCAAAAATATTTGAACCTCCCAGATTCTGTTTTTGTTTGCTAGCAGCTTTGAGATGTCTGTTGTTTTTTTGCTGTTGTTGTTGCTGTTGTTGTTGTGCTCCCATGTGTACTTCTCCACACTTGCTCCTTTTCATGGTCACAGGTTCAGTGAGTTGGGTCTAGTCTGACTTCCTACAGACATTATTTATATGAACTGGGGAAAAGGGGGAGAGCTTGAGACTCAAAATGTCTAATTTGTGCTCTCTCTCTCTCTCTCTCTCTCTCTCTCTCTCTCTCTATCTGTTTTTTTCTTTCTCT